TTGGGACAGGGATGATGGCTGAATGCTTGAAGCAGGTGGGGACAGATGAAACTTTCAGAGATGTATTAAAAATGTCTGTAAAGACTGCAGCTACTTGATCGCAACATGTCTTTAAGACGTGACCTGAGACTCCGTCTGGGCCGGGTGCTTTCCGGATGTTGAGTCGGGAAAAAGACCTCCTCACATTATCCTCGGAGAGCCTCAGGCTGGAATCTTGCGGCACTGCGGGGGGACGCACAGGCTTGTTCGAGTTAGTAAGCTCAAAGCGAGCGAAAAACTCGTTCAGCTCGTCTGGGAGTGAAGCGGCGGTAACTGTGTCTGCGTGTGTCCGGGGTTTGTAGTCCGTGATCGGATGAATGCCCTGCCACATCCGACGAGCATCTGCTGTGTTGTTAAACTGAGAGTCTAATTTGTGGGCGTACTGACGCTTTGCGTATGTAATGGCTTTTCGTGTGTGTTGATGTGTTGGAAGAAAGAAAAATGAGCAAGCATGAGGATCGGAGTGACTTTCACAAGGGCCACATTGTGATGGATAGACGTGACGTCGGAGCAGGTCCTGTAGGGTGTTCACGTTATGCAGTGGTCAGTACCTACCAAAAGTGGTCCAAGGAAGGCCATTTGGTGAACTGTTGGCGTGGTCCTGGCTGCCCATGGCTCATTGATGCTCTTGGAGAGCAAAGGCTAGCCCGTTTGGACGGGTCCCATAGGAGAGCTACTGTAGCACAAACTGCTGAAAAAATTAATGCTGGGTATCATAGAAAGGTGTCAGAACACAGTGCATCGCAGCTTGCTGTGTATGGGACTACATAGCCACAGAGCGATTAGACTACCCAAGCTGACCCCAGTCCACCTCTGAAAGTGCCTACAATGGGCAAGTGAGTGTTAGAACTGGATCATGGAACAATGGAAAAAGGTAGTCTGATCTGATGAGCCACGTATTCTGTTAAATCATGCGGATGGCCGCGTGCGTATGTGTTGTTTACCTGGGGAAGAGATGCCATTAGGATTCATTATGGGAAGAAGGCAAGCCGCCGGAGGTTGTGTGATGCTCTGGACAATGTTCTGCTGGGAAACCTTAGGTACTGGCATTCATGTGGGTGTTACTTTGACACGTTCCACCTTGTGAAAAAGTGTTGGCTTAGATAAGGGTTGCTGATTCTCACCTGCTGGTGACCTTTACAGGGTGTCCCATCAGAACCCTGAAATTATAAGCATACCTCTGACTGGGTTATTTTATAGCTGGTTAATAGCGCATCAACATACCACTCCACAAAGCAATTCAGATACACCTTGGGTGATTATGTAATTGTAGTTTACTGAAACAGAAATAAAAACATAGGGATTAACATATTATTACCACTCACAGATAACAACATAGATTTATAAACATTTATCAAACATGGGATACTAAACATGGGATTCAGCATGCCGAGACATTTTGGACAATTCTATGCTTCCAACTTTGTGGGAACAGTTTGGGGAAGGCCCTTTTCTGTTCCAGCATGACTGTGCCTCACTGCATAACGCAAAGTCCATAAAAACATGGTTGAGTGAGTTTGGTGTGGAAGAACTTAACTAACCCACAAAGAACCCGAACCCTAACTCAATCAAACACCTTTGGGATGAACTAGAACCAAGGTTGTGAGTCGGACCTTCACGTCCAACATTAGTGCCTGACCTCACAATTTCTCTTCTGGATGAATGGGCAGAAAGTCCACCAGACACACTCCAAAATCTTGTGGAAATCCTTCCCAGAAGAGTGGCAGCTGTTATAGCTGCAAAGGGGGAACCAGCTCCATATTGATGCCTTTGGATTTAGAATGGGATGTCATAAAAGTTCCTGTATGTGTAATGGCTAGGCGTCCCCTTTGTCCATACAGTGTATTAGATCTCTCGGGAAGAAATTCCCTTTTGAACCAGGTCTGCTCTGTTCCTGTATGTGGGAGTATGTAACAGACCACGTGTGTGGGTGGTCTGTGCAGTATACAGAGACAGTTCTACCTGTGTTGATCTCAGTTGCATGTGTCATGCACACAGAGGCTGACGGATGTGTTCCGGCGCTATGACACGGACCAGGACGGCTGGATCCAGGTCTCATATGAACAGTACCTCACCATGGTGTTCAACGTCGTATAGTGTGAAGAAGATGCACCTGGGCGCACCTGGACACAACAAGCGTGCCAAAGCTGAGACCAGCGTACTCATCATCCACTTTTAAAGTTATTGACCAAAGGGGGACTGTGGTTTGGGACTCTAAGGGATCGGCCTCTCTAGTGGTCCAAAGATGTGGTTTCTTAAAGGAATCGCTGCAGTAAATCCGCCATAATTGTGCTGATATGCACTTAGATATGTAAATGCATTTGGGGGGGGGGGTATGCATGCTAGGGGCTCAAATTTATGTTCTCGCATGAAGCGCTATTCTCTATCAGTATGTTTTGCTAATATAATGTTTACAAAATGCACTGTGAGGGCAGTTGGGGGTGATTGGCAAGCCCCCTTTGGGGCCATGGATGTGTGTTTGTGCCATATTTGGGGAAGGACACACTCCGGCCTGCAGGTAACGCTAATAAACCACAGGGGTGCAGAAGAAAACATGCTTTGTGTAGCTTAATGAGTTTGTGCATGGTGCCTTAAAGTATATACTGCTAAAACATTTTTTTATTAAAGATGATGTATTTGGACATGGTGGGGATGTCTCTTATTACTGCGGGAGAGTGTGTGTCCTGTCACACGACGCTGAGGATGCCACTGTCATCCTTTGTGTCTGTACCAGTGCTGTGCTGAACCTTAAGCTTCCTCAGCTTGGCAGCTGTGAATTATTCCTCTGGAATCTGATTTTAAATAAAAAAAAAAAAACCAGGTAAGTTTCACAGAGACTGGGAGGGACAGGATGCTGTCACACTCCCACATGCTCAATGAATGGTCAGCCCAGAACTGGCACATGATCACAAAGTTTAGTATTCATTTTTATATAAACACTTCCTGGGTTACGATGGTCCATGTTACAATATTTCGACATCACGATGGGTAAATGTTTTTCACTTTCAGTACGTTATTCAATAACATAAGAGATTCAACCTTTTTAAAATATAAATTGTATGCTTTGTGTTATTGATTTTGTTCAACTGTAAGCTAATGTAAGTGTTCTAAGCATGTTTAAGATGTCTACGGCTATAATGTTTATTAGGTGTACTGTATTAAAATGCATTTGCACCTTACATTTTTGCATTACAATAGGTTTGTCGGAACGTAACCCCATCATAATCTGGGGAGAGGCTGTGCTGTAGAGCAGGATTCCCCAGTTCCGATCCTGGAGGGCCAGTCTGCAACACAGTTTACAGATTTACCTGCTCAAACACCTTATTCAGCTCAACAGCTAATTACCAGGTTTAAAAGGTATGTTTGAGCAGGGAATTAAGCAAATTGTGTTGTAGAATAGCCCTCCAGGATCAGAACTGGGGAACCCGGCTGGAGTGCCTTCCACCCAAAGTGCTTTACAACTGATCCAGAAATGGGAAGGTTATCAAATACTATTTAAGTTATCAAACATTTAATGTAAAGGTGATAATGCATGAGGCAACCAGGTGAGAGACAGGATAGCTAATGAAGGCAATGTACAGTTGGCAATAACCAATCAGAGACAAGCGAATGTATTGCCAGGGGGACTGGCATGAAGGACACTGAAGCGCCAAGTCGGTCACATGATTGGCTACTAGCATTCTGATTGGAAGATCTCAAAAAGTTGCCCACTGAGGTCCAAATTGGAATTTCATACTCAATGAGAAAGTGCCACATTGCTCAAAAAGTTGTCCAGGGTTGCTCGTTTCAGTCAGTCAGCTGGCTGGAGTGAAACTTTCAATTCGAGACAAGTCTGCACACACATTTACATGTATGTTCAGTTTTATTACCTAGTCTGTAGTGTTTGCAAACTACCCCAACGCTTTTGATGTAGCCAATTTTAGGTTTATAATAGAATACAGATTTGCCGCAAGATTTCCTGCGTAAGCGTGTCACGCCAGATTCGTGAGAGTTTGCAGCTCTGCGCGTGTATCACCTTCAGACAACATAAACAATTAAGGCAGTGCCATGCACAGGCAAGTGCTCGGAGAAAAGTTGGGGAGGTCTCCCTCGTTAAATTTTGTCTACCGCGGGGTCCGGGATTTAAATTTTTTTTATTTATTTTTTTTAAAACTGCGGTACTGTCATTATCGAAATTTAATTGGCACTTCCAGCACCTCCGGTGACTTGCTCATGGCGGCACCCTCTTTGTTTCCGGGTCACTTTTTTTTAAAACCGGCGCAGAAGACTTTGGATATTTACCGCAGTATACTTTCGGCTTTAACTGTTCTTTTCTTTCCATACTTTAATTTCAGTCGTCCTCCCTTATCGACTCCGACAACTACCCTACCAGCACAGTCGACATGGCCTTGGTTTCCGCCGCCCTTGTTTTGCGGACTAACCGGACTTTGTCTGTATGGGCAATTTCGGCCGGCCTCCGAGGGGGCTTTTCCCGCGGCTTCGGCCCAGTTCAGTCTCTGTCGGCATTTTGCTCCGGTAAATATCACTATGCAATGATCCACCGCACGCAGGGTGACCGGTTTATAAACCCTGCATACAGCAGGTGATTAACATCCGCAAATATCCGCATTGAATAGAGCTTGAGCCATCAGTGTATAGTTATGACGTGACACATGTTTTTTAATAATATAATCATTTTACAATAAGCTGAATAAAAAGCGACCGAAAACTCATTTTATACTCTCTCATATAGTGGATGTAATGTGTTTTATGAAACACTGGAGGGCAGCAAAATGAATGAAATCTTACACCAGGTCAGACCTCGAATGTTTTTTCTGAGTATTAACTTGAATCAGTCTGTATAAGATAAACAATGAAAAATATGGCGGAAAAAGTTACAAAATGGTTCTATACTGGAGGCTTCCTAGAAATCCTTTATTGTTAAATCTGTGGTTGAAATATGTTTAAAGGAAGAACATAGTATGGGTTTGATAATGTTTATTTGGCCAGAATGTTTAGACCTTTTTCATACTTGTAATTATGGCTTGTTTTATGGGTTTTTCTTACAATCACATCAAAAATGTAGGCATTTTTTGTGGAAAAAATAGGAAACTACTGGGCTGATTTTCTAAACATCACCATGGTCTGCGGTGAAGGTGTATGTTTAAGCTTTAGTTTTAATTTCCTTTCTGGGTTTACAGCTCTTGGGGTGCTGCTGACATTTCTCTCCACACTTCTCCTCTTGGAACCTCAGATGTGGAGAGTTCATCTGGTGTAAGGAGAAACAGGGAGCGATGTTTTACATCAGTTGAGATGTGGGCCTGGTCAGCCTACTTAAAATAGTGAATACAAACCATTAAAATATAACAAATAACTATCGGCCATGAAAGATGTGGACAGATTCAGCTAAACTGAGTTTGTTTTTCCATACTTTGGTTTCTCATGCCTTTGTAAATTCATCAATGCAAGTTCAACAGAGTTTTCCACAAAGCCTGTTAGAACTTTCCCTAAGTAAAATAATGTCCAAGTACTAGCTATTTCTAGTGAGACACATGTGCCTGACTTTGTCTTGCCCTTATCTCACTTCATTCAGTTCCTTGAACGAATGACCCTTGTAAGGAGCTTTTTCTCTTAAAATTTACCATTGCTGTATGTCCTCTCACCACAAAGCTTCTTCATCAGGCCATTTCTCCAACGTAAGAAGATGCATCACACAGCTTATCCCTCATCTCCAGCAGGATCCCACCCACAAACGCACAGCAGAGCCTCCTTTGTGAATGAAATGGCCCTCATTTCCCTTATTTGGTGTTGTGTCCCCCCCGGTCCCCTGTAGCTTCTTCACAGACTGTGGTTTCGGAGAGGAGGGGCTCAGTGGTCACCATCGGAATCAATCGACCAGAAGCGCGCAATGCGGTGAACCAGGAAACGGCTCAGCGCCTTCTGGAGGAGTTCACCGCCTTTGACAGCGACCCTGACCTCACGGTAGCGGTACTCCATGGCATTGGTGAGGAGAAACAAGATGGCTTTGCCAATTGGCCTTTGTCAGATCTTGCTGGGGAATGTTTGTGGCCCTGTATTTTCCCAGTGAACATCAGTGTGTGACAAGAACTGTTGAGGTGATGATCCCTTTCCACCACACCAGGTACCATACTTTTGGCACTTCAAAAATGTAGCAAAAGTACGGTACTTCATGGTATTGGTTTTCCACTGGCGTTAAAAACTGGATTGAGGTGTTTCTTCAAACCCATTGTCACAGATGTATAAAATCAAGCATCTAGCCATGACGTCAGGCTTACTAACGTGTGAAAGAATGGGTCATTCTGAAGAGCTCAGGGAATTCAAGCATGGTTCTGTCATAGGATGCCACCTTTGCAATAAGCCAGTCGATGAAATTTCATCGCTGCTTGATATTGCATAGTGAGGTGTTAGTGGTATTATTGCAAAGTGGAAGCGTTGAGAAACAACAGAAACATGGGCACAAAATGGCAGACCATGTAAAGTAATAGAGCGGAGTCCTGAGTGCATACAAGTCACTAATGCTCTTTTGACACACTAACTACAGAGTTGCAAACTTCCTTCCCTCAGCACAAAAACTGTGTACTGGGAGCCTCATGGATTGGGCTTCAGTGGCAGAGCAGCTGCACACAAGTCTTACATCACCAAGCGCAGTGTCAAGTGTTGGATAAAGTGGTGCAAAGCATGGCAATTATATGCTTCCAACTTTGTGGGAACAGTTTGGGGAAGGCCCTTTGTTTACTGGCCTGCACAGAGTCCTGACCTTAACCCTATCAAACACATTTGGGCTGAACTAGAATGGAGATTGCACGTGCTCTTCTGGATGAATTGGCAAAAATTCCCACAGACACATTCCAAAAGCCTCCCCAGAAGACTGGCAGCTGTTGTAGCTGCAAAGGGAGGATCAACCCCATATCGATGTCTAACATGGCATGTTACGCACACATCTCAAGGACCTCGATAGTCAGCTGGATTGTGGTCAGGCTTTTCCATACCTTCATACTGTCTGGAAATTATAGCATGGGGGTTTTGTTTCACTAAAACAGTTTTACTTCCTCATATGAAACAAAACTTGGCAAGCTTCGCTATTTTAATGATTGTTAATTTTCAAGATTCTCTAGTACAGGTTTAAAAATTAGTTTAAAGTTTACCGTGGCTGCTTTTGCATGAGCTCTGCATACGCTTTCTAATCATTGTCATTCTTTCTGTTTAAATCGCTCATAAAGGGGTTTGTTAGAAATGTATTTATTACTTTTATTATTATAATTTATTTTTTGCTTTATAAATATCCTAATATAGGCTCCAGAACCTCCACAACCCTGAATGGTACAAGTGGGTGCAGAAGATGGATGGATGGATGAGTGGAAATATCCCAATGTTTATTACAACAAAATCCCATTGCGACATTTGATTTTTTTTTTCCAAGATCATGCAGCCCTAGTATATTATAGCAAATATTTTTTTCTGGTCTTGCCATCCTGATCATCTTCTGGTTTTTCCAACCACATCGCAATTAAAGCGTGGATCTCTTTATTTGTCCATGCGTACATTATTATTCATAAATTTTTCAGCACAATGGTTGTATTATGTTTCAGAGGCAGGTTATTTGCATAACCAATCGACAATGAACGACAATGAACTCAATGAGCACAAAGTACCAAAGCACTCGATCAGTCAATGGAAAAGGGTAAAGTTCCAAAAGTACAATATCTGGTGCAGTGGAAAAGCATCCTTAGTCTCTGGTGACATTATTGAGGTGGTGCTCTCTCAGTAACTGGTGACATTATTGAGGCGATGATCCTTTACTCTCTGTTTGTGGTACTGANAACTGGTGACATTATTGAGGCGATGATCCTTTACTCTCTGTTTGTGGTACTGAGGCGATGATCCCTTAGTCTCTGGTGACATTATTGAGGTGGTGATCTCTCAGTAACTGGTGACATTATTGAAGCGATGACCCTTTACTCTCTGGTTGTGGTACTGAGGCGATGATCCCTTAGTCTCCAGTGGTGGTACTGAGGCGATGATCCCTTAGTCTCCAGTGGTGGTACTGAGGCGATGATCCTTTACTCTCTGGTTGTGGTACTGAGGTGATGATCCCTTAGTCTCCAGTGGTGGTACTGAGGTGATGATCCCTTAGTCTCCAGTGGTGGTACTGAGGTGATGATCCCTTAGTCTCCAGTGGTGGTACTGAGGTGATGATCCCTTAGTCTCTGATAATGTTCCCACCCACAATACTTATGTTTCTCCTTTGCTTTTCAGAAGCAGTTGCCTCCTCTGTGTAGCAGCCATCATGTGTATTTTCTTTGTTGGGTGATGCACAGTGTTATTTGAACTGGAGATGGTTGTAATTATGCCCTGAGTAATTATTTGACAGAATATAATTACCGAGGGGGGGCTGGGAACTCCCATCCAGTGATGCCCGTTTACCATGATTCCTGTAAATATGCGACTGAAGCCCCAGCAGTAGAATCACATCACAGGGGCTTTGAAGTGTCCCTCCAGTGCTCTGTTGCTGCATGTGGTGGCTGTGAGCCCCCCCCCCCCCCAAACAGCTGCTGCATCCACATCGCAGGGGGGTAGCCCTGCCAGCCATCACCATCCAGACACATGCGGGTGCCTCCAGTGACTAATTTCATGGAGGAATATGGTGATTGCTCACTTGAAGTGACTTCTGCAAAATGGAGTGCTGCTGTGGCCCTCTGATTAGAGAAACCGTAACCCAGATTCGGGGGATAACGGCCTGATCCAGTGAGGTCTGACCGGGAGTCTGTCATGTTATGCTGCTTAATAGAAACCAGCTGCTCAGTGTTACTCTCGCAAAATGTGCTGAAATTGATTTAATTTGTCTCTGAAACTTAACTGCCGCTCATTTCCGTGTACAAATCTGTGTTCAGAGCCGGCATTTCAGTCGAGTAAAAGTTACTCTGCAGTGGTTCACCGAAATCCCACTGTTTCCACTCATTTCTGTGCCATATTGGGAAATACAACTTCTCCTGTCTTGTTTTTAGGAAACCAGCATGTACATTTTTCCACGTGGAGCTCAGTTCACAGCAGCTGGTCCCACATAATCATTGTGTGTAAGCAGGGATTGGACTGATTCCCCTAGGTGATGGCCTCTTAGTACAAATTCAGTTCTTTAGCACCAGTTGCTGTTACTGCCAGTCCAGCCTACGCTTTCATTCAATTTAAGCTGCTGGGAGGTTAGAGCTTGAACCTACAGCCTCAAGGTTTGTGGTTCAGAATCCTTAATGACAGCTCCACCTGGTTGCTTGCATGAGTGTGGCAGTGTGTGGCTCGGTGGGCTAAGCCTGTGTGCCTGTAATCAGAAGGTTGCCAGTTCAAACCCAGCCTATGCACAGCTGTGGGTCCCTGAGCAACGCCCTTAACCCCCAGCTCCCTGGGGGACCCTTCGCGGACAGCTTACTCTCCAAAGAGCAAGTTGAGGGAGGCGTAAAGATCATTTTCCCACAGGGATCAATAAAATATCAATGATTATGTTTGATGCTTTTGGTCTAGATTATGTGTGCACAAGTTCACTGGACAGTGGTGTTGAGAGCTTTTGGGGCTGGTTGTTCGTGATCGGGGGGTCCGGTGGGGCCTGGTGGTTTGGTGCTGGATTGTTGGGCTGTCAGCATCGGTGATATTTTGTGGGAGGAGCAGCTTCAGCTGTCTTTGAGGAGAAGTTCCTCTCTGGGGAAGGGTTGCTCTCAAAATTGCAGCTGAACTCTCCGTTGTTTTTTTCCAAGTTATTCTTCTCCCTTTGCTCTCGGTTTCTGCCGCTACACTTTATAATTTTGTGGTCTTTTTTTTTCCAGGAGGGAACTTCTGTGCTGGTTATGATCTGAAGGAACTTGCCCATCAGTCTGCATCCCTCAAATTGGAACAAGATGTCACCAAAGGTCCTGGGCCGATGGTACAAGACGAGCCTGAGAACATGCCCGGTGTTGATTCAGCGCTATTTTGTGTCGGGGGCCCCACGCCCATGCTTGTCTGTAATGATGTGTCAGTGGTTTGTCTGTGCTTCTCTGTCTGTAAGTCTGGGTTTTTATTCTGAAGGTCTCTGTCAGTCGCCCTTCACTGTCTGATTGTCTGGTCTTTGTTTGTGTATGTGTGTGGCGGGGTTGGGGATATGGGCCTCTCTCCTGCCCTGACCCACAGGTTAAGTCCCGCCTTTGCCTCTGTTGCCCTGCAGGGTCCCTCCCGCCTGCAGCTCTCCAAGCCGCTGCTAGCAGCTGTCAGTGGCTACACTGTCGCCGGCGGTCTCGAGCTCGCGCTCTGCGCTGACATCAGAGTGGTGGAGCAGAGTGCCGTGATGGGCGTCTTCTGCCGGCGTTTCGGTGCGTTCCCCCCCCTGTCCCCCGCTCAAATGCCTGAGAGGTCACCTAAACTGCATTGGTGTAAGGGTCCAGCACTGAGGAGCTGGTGGTTCTGATCTAGGCTCTTTGTGACGATCCCCTCCCCAGCCGCAAATGCAGTCCACCACCACTTTTTTTTTTTTTTTGAGAAGCCCTTGTTTACAAGCTGTAGCTAATTCTGCCCCTTTTTTCCAAGCAAGGCTCACCGTTCTCTCTCTGCCATAACCGATGTGGTTCTGCCGGTGCTGCCCTGCTGGCATTCTCATTAATACATGCTGGTTTAAACAGCCGCCATGATGGGGGGAAAATAGACAGACACCCGTCCGTCCGGCAGATAGTGTCAGTCCCGCCGGCTTTCCTCAGGGAGGTGATGTCACCAGCATCAGCAGCGAGAGGGTGGCCTGGCGCGCTGTTCTGTTGGACATGTGACTCTGACCCAGCAGACTGTCTCCAAAACTCGCTTGCGTAGCGTATTGAGTGTCAGAGTGTAAGCGATAAATAGGCAGGGGAAGCTGAAATGCTGAATGTCTGAAGGGTTCCTCTTAAGTGTTTCTCCAAAAACCTCCTGGATGTGTTTCTTCTACGGTTCTTTCTTTGGATCTTCTCTTTATAGGAAGATGAGGGTGGAAATGGAATCCTGGCTTTAGAAGCCAGCCGGTCTGGAGCAGGATGGATGGTCTCACTGTGATTCATACCCTTGGAGAAAGCAGTTTGGTGTTGAACGAAGGCGTGCGCACTGCTCTGTTTTACTGCCTATAGTCAGGAATAAAAGCTATTTATCAGGGCACTGACATTCTTGGATTCGGTTTATTTTAAAACCCTTCTGGTAAGTATGTTAAATGTCTAATTTTGACAGATAAATTATCCAACATCCGTTGGTGAGCCCCAGATGGTAGAAGCTACAGGGATTCCCTTGTGGCCTCTCAAAGACTACAGTGTATATAAATGTATGATGTGGATTTGCCAAAGCCACAAGTGAGTGACTACTTCCTGTCATGTGACGCCTGTGAAAAAGGGAAATCCACATCCTACCGTGGCCAAGTGGGAGCCACGCTAGCAGCGTGAGATTGGCCCGGAGGGTCTTTGCTGCCAGGGTGCTGCTCGGCCTGCGTGCAAATGCTGCTTGTTTACCAAATTCCTTACATGTTACTCTGGAAAATATAGCAATGCGTTGTTTACCTGAAGTAGGCAAACAGTCATTTGGGTGGAAGAAGCCCTCCAGGGTGACCCTTTCATGTAAGATGACAAAGTCACATTAGCCCCGTCCCCGTTTCTGTAGCCACATTTAGGCAGATTTGACTGATCTGCGGATGACTGATCTGTGTCACTGCGAGGGCAGCGTGTGGTGGGTGTCAGGAGTCCCCAGCAGCCCCTCTAACCATACGGTATCCCCGAGCTTCTCTATATCTTTCTCTCTGCTTCAGAATACTTTTCCATGCACTATTGTACCTCATTATTTACTTAACAGATGCTCATTTAAAAAAATAAAAATAAAAGAAAGGGAAAAAAATACTGCAAATTTTATCGTTGTGCTAGTGGAAGGAATACAAAGCCAGGGATGATGCAGCATATGAAGGAAACATCTATGGAGACGTGAGCATGACAGAATGTCTGAGGAATCTTTCTGGAGATGATTCAGGGCTGCGTTATGTTGCTATTTAATTGTCCATCCAAAGCATGAGTGGGAATGTTCACTTGTGTGCAGTTTTCCAGTGTAACAAGGGATGCTGAACTCCATTCACGACGAGCAGAGCTGGAGCCCAGCTATGTGGGTGCAGAGAGGAGGGGTTTAGGGCCTGAGTTGTGCAGGTCATCCTGGGGGATCTCTGGCCGCCGTGGCCATGGGATGCCGCATACAACAGCGGATGCGAGTTTCTTCAGATAACCATACCAGCAGAAGGAGCTGATTGGCGTGTTACAATATCGAGGCTTTTGGCATCTCTTTGCACTTCAGTATAACAGATTCAGAAAGCCTCCTGTTTCCTCCCCTTGGATTTGTCCATAACTCTGCTGAAGCTCTTCAGATCCACAGTGGAATGGGACTGTGGGAGCCTCACCATCAGGAAGTCTGGGGGGGGGTCCTGAAATTGTCCCAGAGTTTATGTGGGGCTTGTATGTATGATGTAACCTGCGCTAATCTGTCCAAAAGCATGGGGATGTCCCTATTTCACTGAGAGAGTACGGTACCAGTCAAAAGTTTGGACACACCAAGCCAACTACAAAGTGATAGTGTATGTTGTATATAGTATGTTGCACCATATGACCTGGCCACCTGACTTTAAAAAAATACCGTGATATACCATGAAATTGCCACAGTCTTAAATAATACCATAATACAAATTTTTGGTTATAGCGCCCAGCACTAAGTGCTGCCGTACGATGCGTGCAAATGCTCAAAGCAGAGTACATCATCCAATGTTTGGCATTGCACTTGGTGATGTGAGGCTTGTATGCAGCTGCAGCTGCTTGGCCATGGAAGCCCATTCCATGAAGCTCCTGCTGCCCAGTGCTGGGGTTAATGCCAGATGAAGTTTGGGACTCTGCAGTTATTGAGCCAACAGAGTATTGACTACTTTTATGCACTATGTGCCTCAGTACTCGGCAACGCCGCTCATTTAACATGGTCTGCAACTCCATGGCTAAGTTTCTGTTATTTCTAAATGCTTCCACTTTACAATAATACAGGGTTATTCAACGTGTGAAACCTCTGACCAATCAGAATCAGTAATTATTAAACTAACTACCTGGGAGGACTGAAAACAAGGCCTGGATTTGGAATCGAGGTCCAGATTTGAAGAGCCCTGCAATAATACCACTTACATTTGACTGGAATTTCTAGCAGGGAAGAAATTTCACAAACTGACTTATTGGAAAGGTGGCATCCCATGACAGTATCACGCTTGACTTCGCTGATCTCTTCGGAATGACCCATTCTTTCACAAATGTTTGTAAATCTGACTGCAGGGTTAGGTGCTTGATTTTATACACCTGTGACAATGCGTCTGAATGAAACACCTGAATTCAGTAATTAAGAGGTGTTTCCCAATACTTTTGTCCATATAGTGTACGTGGGACCTCTTTAAGCACAACTGGAAAGCATCCCGGTAGGTTCCCTCATGAAACTGGCATAGAGGAGAAAGTAGGGTCAGCCAGTCCTGGAGCAATTGGGGTTAATAAGGGCCTTTCACAGGGTCCCAATGGTGGGATCACTCTGTTGACCATGGAATTTGAACTGGTAACCTTTTGAGTCCCACCCACAGAGCTGCTCCTCCCTCTGCCCCAAAGTAAATTTTTTTGTTAAATACTTTTTAGGTTACTGCATAATTCCATATATCTTATTTTACAGTTTTGATGTCTTCATAATAATTCTAAAATGTAGAGAATAGTACAAATAGCACTGTATTGACTTCTGGTTGAGTATACAATTAATTTTAGGATGTTGGTACTCACCTATAGAGCTCTGCATGGACAAGCACCTGAATATATTACTGGTTTCTTGCACTGCTACACAGTTTATCGGGCACTTAGGTCTGGGCTAGGGCCGGGGCGATATATCGATATTATATCGTGCATGCGCAGTCATCACCAGGGCTTCAGGTGACGGGCGAAACATTTGGCCAGATGCTAACTTTTTGATACTATACGGATGTTTGTTTACACCAACAAATTTAAGCAGATTGATGTTTAGTAGTGCACCAAAAATATTAATGAGAAATCATTTTGTCACACCCAAAAGTTAGTAATCAGTATAAATTCTGATTATCCTTATGTTTAATAAATTTGTCACATTTTAAACTACAAAAAGTGCCGCCACCCCACACACGTCTTTTTACCTTGTTTATCCACAAGATCTCCTCTTTAAACGATGTTGTGGCTGCTGAGCTGTTCCTTTCTTCACCGCCACTTCAGTGCGATATACCAAACCACAGTATACCTAAACAGTATTATGGGGGGTGCTTCGCTTATCGGATTTAATAAACATAAAGATACGCCAAGTTTATACAGATTACTAACTTTTGGGTGTCACAAAACATATTAATATTTTAGCCGTTCTACTAAACTGCTGACCAAATTGGGCTACAGGGTCCTGTAGGTGTCCCATGTACCCGGCTAAAGACACAGTGATTTTGCCTTTCAGTCTTTTGCACCAAGGCTTTGGAACAGTCTCCCGCGAGTGTTGTGTTCAGCTGAGTCAGTTAACAGGTTTTAAAAGCCACTAAATGCTTCTTTGTTTAAGGAGGCATTCGAATTGAGTAGTCTTTTGTTTGTATTGTGTTGTTTTTAGTACTGTTTTTGTTTATTTACCTTTCCTTGTTTTATGTTGATGGTACTTTTAAATGTTTTAGTGCTGTAAAGCGCTTTGTGACCTCTTGTCTGTGAAAGACCCTTTATAAATAAATTTTACTTACTCAAATAAACCTTTCTATGGGTTGGTGTGTCCAGCCTTTTGACTGGTACAGTATACCTTTGGCGGGATACTCTCATGTGCTAGTGAGCACCTCTAATCTGGGGGGTGGGGAGGGTGATGCTGGACATGGGAGGGTGAGGAAGAACTTTGGCTCCAATCCCACCATTATCTTATCTTACCAGTGACTACCTAGGAGGGAGTAAGGAAAGGGTTACAGTCGCTCTGGCAGAGAGGATAGGGCCCTGTCTGCTGGTGCCGGAGGGGAATTTCTCAGTGGCTCGCTCTCGGAGTTTGAACGTTTCCCATGGTACACGGAATATCCCTAGTCTCTCATTAGTCCAGCCATGAGGCCGCTGGAGGGTGATGCCAAGCAGTTCGGGTTTCGGGACTGACGGTCAGTTTTACCGACGCGCCCGATGGACATCCTTGAACATCAGGGTGACCGAGGCCGCCGGGCTGATGTCACAGAGCCAAGGCCAGAGGGGGTGTGTGAACCGCTGGCTGCTTCATACTCACTGCTGTGTTGTTGCCCTTGGTGCCAGAGGATGACCCCGATTAGCTGAACATGAAAGAGTTGGGATTGGCCATCCATGGATCATAGATTTCCGGGCTTTTTGAGGTGAAATTCAAATACAATGTCACTTGCCTATTTAGCTCCTGTAGGATTCTCTGGAAAAGCAAGTTTAATAATGAAGGTACTTCAGTCATCTGCTTGTAGTGCAGTGGGAGAACCTGCGAAGCCTGTGGATACTTTACTTTGTTGGGAGAGGCCTAGAGCTTCAGGGTGGTTCACACAGAAAGTGAGTTTGGGGAAAAATCAGAGTGTCCCCTTCAGAAGTGTGGCTCCACAGTAATTTTAAAGGAAAAGCAGAGGACTACTTCGTCACGTGATGAAAGGTCTCCTTGATGCATCATGGTCATGCTGGCCAATGGCATTTTGCTCATGAGTATTTCTAACTATGGAAACCTTTTCATTCAGCGGTAACATCCTAAACCCGACTTGTCAGCCTATTCCACTTTTTTCACTGTCATCACACTCTTTGTCTTGTCGCCCTGTCCTGTCTCCGTGCAGGTGTCCCACTGATTGATGGGGGCACAGTAAGACTCCCCTGCCTCATTGGTCTGTCCCGGGCTCTGGACCTGATCCTAACTGGCCGGCCGATTGGTGCACAGGAAGCACTGGCCTTTGGGCTGGCCAATCGCGTCGTTCCAGATGGGCAAGGTAACGCCCACCTGCACCTTGGGGGGCCTCTCCTGTAACCTTCCCCATACACTTGGCAGATTTACGTTGCTGACTGTTGTGCCTATTTTGTGCATATTTGCAGTCAGATACATGCAATCAGGGCTGGACTGCAATTAAAAATTGGCCCTGGACTTTGGGGTCCCCTATGATAAATTCTGCCAGCCCACAAACCCATTGGCGCACTAGGAAAATGCCCAATATACCAATGTCAAGTCCAGGCCTGCATGCAAACAAGTTGGGTTCATGATGGAAACAGGGTAAATAGCAAGAACTGTCACCGTTTGAGTCATCAGTGGAGAAAAATGTATGAATTCCTCACACTCATCTGCCAGTGAAACCATCAGCTTTAATTTATACCCCTTTAATTCGTACTGCGGCCTGTGGTGCAGGAAGACACTTCACAAAGTCGTCGATTTCAGTAATGTAAGAATCCCGCAGAAAAATCCCAAAAACTCGCATGTGATGAGGAGGCTCTGTGCACAGCCTAGGCTAAAATTCCTCAATGACATTAAAAGATTAACTTTGTTCTTTGAGGAAATCGTTCCCACAGCTGCAGCCAAGTCTGTCGGCCTGGGTCGTGGTTCTGGGCGCCTTGCTGTGAGCCAGAAAAGCAGAAATGCTGCACATAAGCCTCCAACATGCCCCTTCAAGGTGTAAGGAGTAAATAAAACACAATGAAAACCTTCCACACCTGCATTCCCCCACAGAAAGACACCCAGATGGGCTGCATGAATCTGTAACTGAACCTTCTAATGACAGTCCTCCCCTGAAGGTTCTTATTGGAGAGAGTGTGTGTGTTTGAATACTTTTTCTGCGTAAAGTGGGTTAATGCTCAATTCCAGCTTGCAGTCAGTCATTAACCAAACAGTTCACATGCTGTTCACTGCCGTACTGCCACACCTCGTTAATGTTCAGCTCTGCTCACTGCCATACCTTGTCGATGTTCAGCTCTGTTCACTGCCGTACCTTGTCGATGTTCAGTACTGCTGCACCTCGTCGATATTCGGCTCTGTTCAGCTGCTGTACCTCGCCAATGTTTAGTGCTGCCACACCTTGTCGGTGTTCAGCTCCGTTCACTGCCATACCTCGGTGATGTTCAGTACTGCTGCAGCCCTGGTGATGTTCAGTACTTCATCCTGTGCCTTTGCGTGTCTCAGCCCTGCAGGTGGCCCTGGAGCTGGCCCAGCAGATCGGCAGCTTCCCCCAGCAGTGTCTCCGTGCCGACCGCGCCTCGGCGTACCACAGTGCTTTGGAGGCGCCCCCCTTCCGGGAGGCCATGCAGTACGAGTTCGACCACAGTGTGGCGGTCCTCCAGCTGGAGAGCGTGGCAGGGGCTGCCAGGTTCAGCTCAGGCACTGGGCGAGGAGGGGCCTTCCCAACCAGCAGCACGCATGATGACACGCGTGCAGAATGACTGCTCCTCATCAGAGCTGCTCCTCATCAGAGCTGCTCCTCATCAGAGCTGCTCCTCATCAGAGCTGCTCCTCATCAGAGCTGCTCCTCTCAGTCTGCTGCGGGACAATGACATCCGGAAGCATGTAGGGGTTTTGCCGGATGCCATCATATACCGCTTCATTTTCACACACAAGACGTCTATTGTACAGCACAACAAGAATGAATAAATCCCACAACTTCAATCAGTCGAAGCTTAAAACAAATCTGCACCCGGACACATAAACACGGATCAGAATATACACCTGGTGCCCGTTTGTAAAGCCTGGTTTATTGTGAAGCTCATATCAAAGCACTATGGTGGACCGAGAGTAACTGGAAAACAGTGATGCACAACAATAACATCAAAAGCACCAGTAGAGGGCTGTGCCAACCGGACGTCTGTGTAAATCTTATCACCTGAAGCAAGGGACTGGAGATCTTTGCTCTGGATGCATCAGTCTCTCTCATCTGCAGCAATGAAATGATGAGACTCTGCTTTGAGCATTTGCACGCATCGTACGGCATGAATGCTGAAGGTATGCGACAGATTAACAGTGTGCAACACGTGCTTCAAAGACTTGCTTCTCCTGCAACATGGGGGCTGGGCTGGAGGAGGTGGGAGACGTGGGCCCACCAAGCGAACGGACACTGCTGCAGCCCATCAGTGGATCTGCTGAATGGGGGCAGGAACAAATCCCAGCTTCCCTCAGTCTCCCCGATGCTGCCTGGCTGTGCAGGCACACGTCCTTCATTTAGCCTGATACGTGTCAAAAGGCAAGGTGATGCCTAATCAGAACATATTGCTACCAGTTCATGCTCCTGTTTCACCGTGTTTTTATTTTTATTTTTATTTTTATTTTTATTTTTTATCTACATTTAGTCCTTTATAGCAAATGGGGCTGTGTCTTTAGTGTGTTCCCTCCTCTAGCGTGCTTGTAATCAGTGGGGGGGCAACTCTGCACCCCCTAATCAGCCCTCCATGGTGTGGGCCACCTGCAGGCAACGCCAATCTCCCTTATCTGCCCTGTCCGCTTGCGGCTCCCATCCGTGGCCAGACGTCTCCTGCGGGTGGAGGGGGGGGGGGACACTGATCTCCTGATGCGGCTGCAGAGTGCCCCACCCCCTCCCCAGTCATTCACTGTGTTTGAAGTTCTGACATGGTGTCACTGAGCAGAGCTTCCGTAACACCTCTGCTGACCTGGGACCATCAGAAGCTGCATTAGGAGATCACTCACACTTTAGTCATCGAAAGGGCAGATTATGCCATGAATATTGAGATTGTTCAATTGATCAAGCCTTAAAACAGGCTGGGAGCCTCCCATGAGGAAGGTCTTCCAACTTGCTTTTAAGCAACATTTGTTGGATACCGCTTAACAAAACAACAGTTTTACAAGCTTTACTTTCCAATGCTGTGCTCAAGGGGTCCTCGCCGGGCACTGCTTTGTTTCCGGGTAAATAACCCCTCTGCTGAAAACAAGGAGCAGAATTGACTGTGGTTGATAAAAGCAAATTCAGAAAGTGCATGTTGATTTATTAACTGCTGGGTTCTATGCATTTTTGTTGCTCTGCAATTCCATAGTAGTTTGATGCTGCTGCGACTTGGGCTCCCCCTGTGCCTGGATCCCGGCCAGCCTGGGGGATAGCATCTGCGGCTTTGATGTTGTGGTTTACACTTCTGCCAGATAAGATTGCCGGCAGAGTGATAAGAGAACTCCCTCTATCGAGTGATCAGGGATCTGGCAGACACAACATGAGACTCCCGGAGGAGACGGGGAGGAAGGGGCAGCAGGGAGACGCTCTGTTCCTTCTCAGGGTGGGAGACCTAATTGAGATTTATGTAAAATGTACTGGTTTTCCTTTGAATGTCTTGATGTTGTTAATGAACACCTCAGTGTTCTCTGAAAATTTGTTTTTGCAGGCCTAATGCACTTGTATGGTCACAATCATGGGTTTGAGATTTGGCTCAATAAATAAGAAGAAATCTTTTGGATGTCATTTTCTGTGTGCTGGGAAATTGCTAACAGACCAGAGTCCTAAATCGTGTGGCTTTTTGGGAAAGGTGTGTGCTCTCACTTGATTAGCCAGTGTTCTGATATTGCTGTGAGCACTGTTAGACTTTGCTTCTGAGGTGAATACTGAAAATGATCAGTCCCTGTTATATGGTGTTCATTTTTTCATCGTCAGGGGTCGTTCCTATAGGCAGGAAAATAATCCTGTTATTCCTAGGAATTTCGGATGAGCCGTTGACGGGATTTAATTACACAAACTTCAGATAACACCTGTTTTGAAATTACTTTCTGTGTGTCTATTGAAATTATTCGATTTTGCTTATTAGCTGTTATTGCCTGTGGCAGCTGAAAACCGTCGCTTTACCGCTTTAACAGAAGTTTTCCAATGACACTGCAAATGCAAATCAGTATGGAGCAGACATGGTGAAGAAAGGATGGTGATGGAGGGGGGCATATACGGTGTGTGTGTGTGTGTGTGTGTGTGTTTGTCCACCTGACATTGCCCCGAAAGCCCCTCCTCCGAGCGCGCGGGCCGGACCGCACGGGACGGGGCGTGTTTGCGGCGGATGCACGCGCTTTAGTACCTGCGCCGCGAGCGCTCCAGACAGTCCGAAGCGGGAGCAGAAGAGCTGAACTTCGCTGCTTCGAAACAGATTCGATGCCGCCTGTGAACGACTAACCGCCCGATAATAAGATGTTTACTTCATCACGGTTTATTTTACTCCGTCTGACAACTTTACTGTTTGATGAAATCTGCCGGGTAGAAGAGTTCGGGCTCGCCGGAGCGGTACCGCAGCCCTGAAGTGCGCTTTGCTCGTCTGTCAAGTAGAGGAGCGCTGGATCGCCGGAGCGGTACGCCGCCGTGAAGTGCGCTTTTCTTGGCGGCAGAAAAGTCCCATTTAATGGAGATTAAGGACGACGAAGTTCACGGCGCGACTTTCAGCGGCTTTAGCTCTGGATGAGCTTTCATATGGCGTGAGGGAGACACTGTATGGGCTTCATTTCGACGCTGAGCAGCGCGTCTCATTCATAACCGAATAAAGACCTGGAGATACGTGCACATACCATGATAAGCTTCTCTCTGGCTCTCCGGGGCTGGCTCTGGGGTTCATGCTACGTGTTATTTATAGGATGCAGCCACTATCTGTTTGACGGGAATAGTGAGGTGCAGTCGAACTTCATCCAGCGGAGACTGCGCATCTCCGAGAAGCGGGAGATGCAGAAAGAGATTCTGTCCATCCTGGGGCTGCCCCAGCGGCCCCGACCGCATGTGTCCCACAGCAAGTTCAACTCTGCCCCACTGTTCATGCTGGACCTCTACAACACCATCTCGGAGGAGGAGGAGGTTCCAAACCCTCACAGATTCGTGCTGGCCACCGAGGGACCTCCCCTAGCCAGCGCGCAGGACAGCGCCTTCCTGAGCGACGCCGACATGGTCATGAGTTTCGTCAGTCTGGGTGAGGCAGTGGACTCCCTCCGTGTTTTTATTCTTCTTTACCATTATCGTGTGTAATGAGGAAATTAACGAGTAAAATGTAGCACCTGGCTGGATTAGTTCACCTAGAATGAAACTGGAGTTCATTCATTATTATAAATAACCGGCGAAATTCTGCGTTTGAACACGAGGATTGATGCTCAGGGACAGAGTCACTTTAGGTGTGATTAGTGGTCCTGCTTCCTACTGGGATTTGATTCAGGTTGAGAGAAACCTTTGGAGGGGTCTGTCAGCATCCAGCGCCTCTCAGCACAGGTGGTGGGAATAGACAGAGAATTCTTTTTATTTTCACTGTACGCCCACTGGGGGAAAATGTCTAAACTGTACAAATTTCAGAGTATTTTGCAATCAGCGCTTTGATTTATGGCCCTGCAGGGAGATGGAAAAACAATTCCACACCAAAATAAATACGCAAATCTCAAGCTAATATTAAGACAAAGCTATTCTTGGCATTCAGCTAACAATACCTGCCGTGGATATCTGTGTAAATTGGCTATTGTTTTTTTTCCTCTGTTGTTTTACTATTTATTTGCGATTTTGGTATGAATGGTTAACGAATGCTTTAATCATAGGTCAGCTATGAAAGGGCATTGCTATTCCCTCCATTTGCAGCTGAAGTGTTTATAAAAGCAGTCTAAACAGAGTGAACGAAGATAAACAAGAGATTTTGCCAGACACGTTGATCAGTGGTACTGCGCTTCGGCGGTATTCTGACACAGTGCTCTGTATGGGAACACCGTGAACTGTCCCAGGGAAAATATTAATATTAGACAGAAAAACTGTGGGATTGTTTCTGCTATGCATATTGATATTTTAATTGCTTTACTGGTTTCCATTGTAATGATAATAAATGCTGACTAGCAGTGGTTATGGTGTGAATATGAGTATTTTTCTGCCTCTGCGTAATGAGCATGTTGATCTTTAAGGATGCTGCACATCTGTGGGTCTGGTTAATGGAGCAGCGCAGGACTGGATTTCACAGCTCCCCGAGACTGAATGTACCCCAGATTGGGTTACTTTCTATCTCCCTAGTAGAACACAGAGTCCTGGAGAAACCTGGAGACGCACATTTCCTTGAATGTAATAGTAATTAATGTTAGCCGGGCCAAGAGTCTCCATCTGTGGAGGTAATTCTGCGCTACACAACTGTGTGTCAACAGAGGAATTTTTTTTTTCATAATAAGAACACCTTCATGTGTAAGAGATGGACATCTGTGTCCACTTGGCCTGACCAAAGTGATTCTGTTTGCAATATATTGATGCTTGTCCATAAATCCCCAGTAGAGAATGGGTTTGGGAAACTAGGCAGGAGGGATTATGGTGGGAAGCTTGCCGACTTGTAACAGGGTTGGCAGGTGAAGTCACAGCGGAATCCGTTTGAGATTGGGCACTTTAACCAAATCACCCTTGCACATCTGTCTTGCCATATATTCAGGCATTACTGCATTGCTTATCATAAGTAAAAGGGGCATTTAAGAGATCTTTATTCTGCATGGAACTGCCTCTGTTCAGCTTCCACCTACCAACCACACCGCTGAAGCTGCCGTTCTCTGCCTTCCCCCATTGCTGGCTGTCCTCCGCATGCCTCAGAGGTGGAACACACTCAGCGCTCACTGTAGCTGCTCTTTGATGCTCGACGTGCCCAAACTGGTCTTGTTTTGGGTTCTAATTAACACAGTACAGTAAATTAACCGTGACCACAAACCGCAGCCTTCAGACTCCCATTCTCTCAGAATCCAAGTGGCCACAGCACTCGCAATTTAGACTCAACATCTGAACTGTTCTCAGTGCTATTGTCTCTCAAGCTTCCCTGAAGGAAAGTGTGTCGGCTAGGAGTGTCTGCTTTAATCTGTGAATGCATTTCCTTGCATCTATCGGGCAGCCAGTGAAATTGCTTTAATGATTAAAAATGGCAAAAACTGACAAATCATAACTTACAGTGTAGTAGTGAGTCAGTAAGCTCACCGGCTGGGGGACTGACCATGGGAGTTTACCTTGTTGTGTATGATCAAACCAGCATTCCCCATTTATACGGCTGGGAATTTCCTTGGAGCAATTCAGGTTAAGCGCCTTGATCAAGAAGATAGCAGAGAGCCCAGGGGCATGAGTCGATCTTCAAGGTGTAGTTTCTCATCCTTAACCACAGTTGTGATTCTTGGCACCTGTGAGTTTGCACCTCTGTTCCTCAGTGTTGTTTTCTGCAACTTTACCACTGCCTGGAGTGGGTAGTTATGGGGGCAAGAAGGAAAGCTGAGATGGAGGGGGTGCTTCTAGAAGATTGGCCAGGGTCTGGACAATCCTGGATTATTTGGAACCCTTGTCTTTTTCTGTAGCTGGATTTCGGAGTGCTAAATCTTTGGGTAAGCTATTTATATTGGCAGCAAAATGTGTCCCAAAACTCCAGCTGGAGCGAATAATTAACAGGCTATGATCAAAGACTTAATTGTCTGATGGAGAAGCTTAGGTGTAAAGCACTTTATCCCATCAGAAATACTTCCTGTGGACAGCAGACAAAGGGGCATAATATTAGCCCTGTGTTTTGCATCGCTCTCTGCAGAAGTTAAGAAAGGAATTCGAGACATGCCGTCCCACAAAATGAAATAAAAGGCTTATTCTAAATGATGGTTCGGGTACTGAGGTGAAGAGGAAAATGCATTAGATGCACCGCATCTGCTCACCTGAACTTGATTTATTTATTTATTTTAACAAAGATGAGGTTGGTGCTGTTACTTGATTTGTAAAAACTGGACTTCTGACCCATGTTTCTCTGTGGACCATGTCCACGTGTATTATATAAAGGAATTTAAATTGGTGACATACGATGTAAAGTGTAAGTGTTTACCTTCCTGCCCGAGTGACGACTCGGCCAGCTGTGAGGTCATGGGTCACGCCTTTCTTTGGTTACATCCATAAATGGGCTGCGGAGCCCTGAGAGCTCTGAGCTCCGTGGCTCTCCAGCTCTGCTATGGATCCCTGAGGACCCCACGTGTCCTCGGCCTGCGTCACTTGGCTGGGTGGCAGGGCAAGCGTGACACTGGGGACCCTGTGATGGGTAGTCAGATGTGACGAGCGTGCAGATACCGGCAGCAGAACATCTGATTACAGGCCTTCGTGTCTTTATCTGTCACGCGCATCGCATCCCAAGCATCACGTTCTGCATGCTGGGCTGTTTCGCAATGAGGGCATCCTGGCCTCCCGATCGGCCTCTCGCCCATGCTGCGAATTCATCACGCGTCCCTCCTCAGCACCCTCGGAAGCCCACGCTTCTTGTTTGTGGGGATTATCAGGAGCCAGGCTGTGTGCGTGCCTGCATGTCTGCATGTGTGTGTGTGTGTGTGTGTGTGTGTGTTTGTCTGAGCTGTGGCTGTGCCAGATAAGAGAAGGGCCTTGTTCATCAGAGGAGAGTAGGCTGGCACTCCTGGATGAATCGGGTTGCAGTGCTGGACCCAGCCATTTTAGGGAGTTGGGTGCAGGACTAGGAGAACCCCAGTGGGCCTCTGGGAAGAAAAGTGCAGCTTCTTTGCTCACACCCTATACGTTCATGCTAGCCTTCATTATTGTATCATATAGATTTGATATGAACTGGACATCCATCCACATTTGAACCACATATCCGGTGTAGGATCTCAGTAAGCCTATCCCAGGAAGCGCAGGGAACACCCTGGATGGGATGCCAGATAAAGTACATACATGAATATAAAACATTATTATCTTTCCAACTATGGAACACTTTAACCTCGGGTATATGGCCCTTCAGGCCCAGACAACATCACTTACCCAGAATCCCAGTGGGCCGTGAGCTGTGGGAATGATTGCCTTGCTGCCAGCCCCACTCGCTGTAGTCTGGTTTTATGGCTTCTCCCTCAAAAAGTTATGGTTGTGTCCTTGCCATGGATGTTGGGTGCCTTGAATCAACATGACAGGGATACAGGTATGTGAAACAGCTGTGTTTGAATGGTTTTCTCCATTGGGGGGCTGGGGGTGCATGCCTTACAGGCAGGACAATGTTTAGAGACTTTGCTGCATGTCTCGGAATAAATTCTTACTTTGCAGAAGGAAAAATGCAGGGCATGACAACATCAGAGGGTGAAAGCCACAAGAATTTGTGTGAAGAAAATATCCATGTTAAAGCTTTAGGTGCAGTTGTCTTTAATCTAATGGTTGGGATTGGTAGAAGCAGGCACTGCTTTTGCTTTCCAGAGAATGACCACCATGAGAATGACCACCATGAGAATGACCCCCATCTTTGATGAATTTGATTGATTTGGATTAGATAGGAAGCCCGAATCACATCAGCCCTATTCTGGGGTCTCTCCCCAGTAAGCATCACAGGAGGAGCTGTCTGAGAAACAGAAGCCTGCTGGCTAATGTAGAAGCTCAGTGATCTGGTCAGGAGATGGCTTGTGTGGGTCGAAGGTGGTGGTGCCGGTAAGTGATTTGCCCGAACCTCCTGTTTCAAATGCTCCTCATGTCAGGTTTCTAATGGTCAGTATGTCCCATTTGTCCTTAGTCTGACTATAAGCAGCTCCCATTGTTCACACATGGAAAGAATGTGCAGAAATAGGAGGGCTGAGCTAAGAAGTGCATCAGCTCTGCAGACCCTCTGCCTTCATCCACAAGTACTCATTTGTCATCGTCTTAGCTTAAAATACAGTCCAGCGGGCAGGCTGGCTTCTCATATTAATCATAGTCTGTCCGTGATTAGTGTACGTGACTGGTGTGGTATCTCCTCTACTCTGATGCGCTGATAGTCTTTTTACCAGAATCCAGCGTAGGATTTAACACTGCAGTGAAAAGTTTGTTTGACTCCAAGGTCCAACACAAGTGCTGATGGAAAGGTAGAGCGAGCTGGAGAGAGAGAGTGTCCCTCCACCTCAAAGCCCTGGAATGTGCACCACCAATATTTTGATTTCTTCTTTGGAAACAGCTGTGCTTCCCTCTTCAGAGATATTTTTTCCTTATTTATCAGATCCCTCAGGAGAAATCCATCTGCCGCCCCCGACATGGGTTTCCTCCTTTAAATCTGACTGCTCTTTGCCCAGTTGGCTGTCCCAGCACACACCTGCTGCAGCAGATTCCAGATTATTCTAGCAGGTCTATACACACCATTGGTCTCCATCTTTGGTCTTTCTGGCCAATGGCATTCTGCAAAGCTGAGTGGAAGAAAAGGTCCATTGTAATCTTTGGTTGAAAAACGGTGATACATCCATTTGGGGGGGGGGGGGGGGGGTGAGGGAAATGAGGTGCATCCAAGATTGCACAGTAGGTTTCTGGTAATCCAGGTCAAGCATGAAAGCATCAGTCAGCACTTTGCATGGAGCAGTGCTTCTGTGATGTTTTAAAAAGTGGCCCTTCTTATATGAGGGAAGCTCATGCTATGAGCTCATAGCTAAATGCTATGAAATATCTAGTAAGCCACTCCTCTACTGCTCAGTTTTTAAACCAACCTCTGCTTTTGGCAACACCTCCTTGTTATCACCATAGCAGGTTTTTCCCCAGCCCTAAGCCTGTGGAATGATACAGTCCTTCAGAAAGCCCATCCATCCATCTTCCTACCACTTCTCCTGAACAGGGTCATAGGACTTTCATGAGGTCTTCTTTCAGTAAATGACCTATTCCCATGCTGGTCATTCTTCTTATATCCTGACTTTGATTTCAGTTCCTAGCTCAGTGAAGGAGATCAGAGGGAGCCCACAGATTTGCTTTTCAATGCAAACAACACAAAACTGGAAAGCAATTCAAAAACAGCTGAAAACTGCAGGACTATGGTGTCTGGCCTTGTACTGGGGCACTTCTCAGGTGGCTGGGCAGGATGGTAAAGAAATCAAGCTGTATACACCAAAGTTTGGGGTTTTCTCAGATTCCCTGTCTGTGTTGAGTGTAGTGTTTTGCCAGCATTTCAGACCACTGCCTACTTCTTTCCCCAAAGTGATATTAGGACTTTGTCCGCTGGAGTTAATGACCCCAAGCCCAGGAGACCTGTGCAACCTCAAGATCTCTAATTAAATCATATTAAATCATATGGAATAAGATTTCAAAACCTTTAATTATTCACAGTAGTGCAATTAGTTACTGAGCTGTAGGGATGTGCAAGTGGGTCCCTCATGGAACGATAAAAATTTGAGGAGCCTGAGAGTATTGGAGTATAATTACATAAACACATCTAAATTCTTGACATGCCTTGGGCAGTAGTGGCTTTTATTAGCTTAACCATTGGAGACCTCGCTCTCATCTCTGCCTCCGAGTGCTGCGAAGATGCTTAGCTTGATCCATGGTCTCCTGTCCAAGTGACAGAGAGAAAAAGGTTAAATCACAAAGATGGCAGTGGCCCCATTGGGCTCATGTCTAACTCATGCTTTTTAAATGGGCTCACATCTTTCACTGGTGAGCTGATGTTTAGTATGCAAACCTGTCCCCGTTAACAAATATGTGATACTTACCATAGACTTCGGTGACATGAAAACATAATGTATATGATTCACTGGATCATTCATAGTGATGTTATGGGGGGGTCAGTGATTCCGTGAACCATCTGCAAACACCAGTAATCAGCCATCTCCCTGATGACTTCTGAGAGGCAGGAGGCTTATGTTGCTGCGACGTTGGTCAAGTTGACCTTGTGTTTCTGCTGCTTGCGTGTGTCTTACCCCCCGGCCTCTTTTTTGGGGGTGGGGGGGGGGCACAGAAACCAGCAAAGAAAAATGTCGTTGTTTTTCTTCGCGGTTGTGGGTGGGTGGAATAGACTAAATGTGGTTTAAGAATTAAATGCAGGCGACCGCCAAGCCCCTCGAGGGATACGATGGAAAACATTTAATGTGCTAGCCGGCTCTGACCGCTGACCGCAGCCGGCCGCCCACTGCTTGGCGATGGGATCGTGAGAGTGCCGGGCCAGGTCAGGAAGGACCACACTTCTCCCTTAGCCTTTTTCAGTCCTTATAACCTGGACACTTGGACTCAGTGCCCATTTCAGACCCCTGTGAGTGACAGTGGCACACTTGCCAGTTGTAGAGGCCAGCCAGGTCCTGCTCGTCTGTAAAGATGTTAGTCGCAGCTCAGAGAAGAACATGAGGAGAACATGAGGAAGTCCCACCTGGAAATGACTCATGTAAAGCCATCAATGTTCATGTCTGCCATGTGCTTCCATAGGCCAGTTTCACCAATTGGCTCAATGCATCATGCTTGGTGGTGAGCCCCACAGTCTGACCCTGAACAGTCCACTGCCAACCTTTGTCTGAGGTGGATGGCAGACGTTGTCTTTTTTGAAAGAAGCACTTATCCTCACACCCTCATGATGAATCCTCTCAGTTGATACATCTCCTCTAATGACTTTCTGACATCAGAATCACAGAAGATTGTACTGTATATTCCTTTAATTGATTTAGTTTAGCCAAGCAGCTATGCTTTTTTTCTTGCCATTCTTCTTTTGGATGTTCTTCCTTTACCGTCCCAGCAAATGGGAAATCAGCCATCATGACACTTGTGATTGACTAATGCTGCTGTCTGTGTTCGTTTTCACTGTAAAAAATGATGAAATCGAATAGCATGGTCTTTTAGATCAGTAGCACTTGAGTTTGCATCAATTAATTTTAGGGGGAATACCTCCAGTCAGCTGTGAGTGCTATCAAGAAGATGACCGGTCAGTAGCTCATGCATCTCATGACTTGGTGCTGCTGACGCTGACGCGGATGTTGGACATAGATGTGTGTTATTTATTCTGTATCTGCGAACATCTCTTATAATGTTTCTGTAAAATTAAGTGCTCCATGAGTTAGAGATCAGACAAACCACAAACTATTGCCGGGTCTGCCTGTGATGAACAGATAGTAGATTTTTTTCCATGATGGACAAAGAGCCCTTGTCAAGATGATGTCTCATGTCAGGCATATCTTGTGCATTTTTGACAGCACAGAAGCTTCATAATCATTCTTTGCAATCAAGTTTTGGTCATTTTCAGATTTGTCAGTATGTAACTGGGAACATATCAGGGTCTGTCATATAACCATAACAGATGCCAGATAAGTTTCCAAGGGGAACTGATGTGTGAAGGTATTTTGGGAGCTCCCGTTGAAAGGTGACATAAGCGAATGCGAAGCTGTGATGCCAGGACAAACCGAGGCATGTTGTCTAGCTGGTGCCTGCCAGCAGGGCCTAGAACCAGGATAGTGCTGTAAGGGGGCTACAACATTTTTGCATGTAGGGATAGGTTAGTCAAGGATGCTGAGCACAGTGACACTAAGTGAGTGCTAATTGAGAGCGAGTTATAAAGGGATGGCTGCTGATTGGAGGAGGGTTACGAAGGGATGGCTGATGGTTGGGGCAAGGTTACAAAGTGATGACAACTGATTGAAGGCAGGTTGTGAAGAGAATGTCCACAGTGCACTTCAACACTGATGAGCACCAGATGTGCCCAGGAGTAGCTGGAAGCAGCCTCTGGAAGGGCAGAGCTCTACTGAAGGACTCCGGCTACCCCAAGCTCATTGTCACTCTGCGCTCACCCCCTCCATCCATCTCCCAACTTCACTATTTCATTTCCTCCTGGAAGGAAGGGCCCTAGTTTTGGGTCCATCCCAAAGAGGATGGAAACATGGTCTTGCTGCAGTGAGTGTCTGGTTGCGTTTTTCTGGGTTGCCATGGTGATGGCAGCATGCATGCTGTGGGTTCATTCCCTCCATGTCTGGCTCTGTGTACGGTAGTTCTGCCTCTTTGTGGATCACTGGCAAGGACCACAAGGAGCAATCTTCACACCAGTGCTTGGCCACCCCCCATCCTGAGATGGGTTTCCTCTTACCAACAAGCTCTTTAGTTTGTATTGATGACCCAGTGCATGGGTCATCAATGTCAAATATGTGAACAAACATATTTTGGTCTACACAACAGAGAAGACAGTAAAGTATTGTGTAGGCCGCTAAACTATTAATGGATGTTTAAAGATGTTCATTAATTAGAGGGGTTTATGTTGCGACATGTTATTTCATTTCTTATTTGTCTGGGGGTTAGTGCATCACGGGTGCTATAGGTGAAGCACCATTCATCTTCATTGTATGGGTGACATGCAGACTTTACTTATGTCTGTGCCTGTTGCTTTGCCTTTGGATAGCAGAGCATGATATGGAGATCTCCCTACAACGGCGACACTTCAGGGCGTTCAAGTTCAATCTGTCCCAGATCCCGGATGGGGAGGCCATGACTGCCTCCGAGCTTCGTATCTACAAGGAATGCACAAGTCAGGTCTACGAGAATGGCACCTTCCTGCTGTCAATCTACCAGGTGGTCCAAGAGCACCAAGACAGGTAGGCCTGTGCACCAAGGTCTTTATGTGTAATATGTGTGATTATGTCTTCTGGGTCACATTAAATTGGTTTTCTGCCAGTCTCACATGATCGTGTGTTACAGTTACACTAATGTTCTGACTTGCTTGTATGTTACAAATAGAATAAAAGGTCAAATTAGGGCCCGTGGAAATGCTCACTTTCAAAACAACATAAACACACTATGGTCTCCAGGAAGTCTTTAGGAAGAGCTTTCTGTGAGTACATGGAACAAAGCAGTGGAACACAGAGGGAAAGTATGTCTATTATTGCCGGGGGTGGGGGACATGGGGGGCGAACAGTGAGAAATGAGGCCTCTGCTTGACATCCCTGACGCTCCTGGTGTTATGTGGGGGGAAAGAACTGAACTCTGGAGCGGAATCAATGGGCATCAACAACATCCTGTCCTCTTGGTTTGACTAACAAAAGAACGAACAGGATGCAAAAACAAGACAGAGTGTCAAAGCGTATGTGGCTCAGAAGACCCAGCTCTCTGTGGTCTCTGTGGGGACCAGACATAGTCACTCCACGTTTGGTACAGCACATGTCTGGTGACATGAAACTTTCTTGGCCTTGACCTGGCAAAGTGAAGTCAGTTAAGACTCTTTCAGCTGAAGATGAACTGACTCTTTAAGATGACTGCTTAAAGGCTTCAAAAATAGTCCTGCAGAAAAAGAAGTGAGCCTGGACAACAGTTGTCAGGCATTCACAGTGAGGCACTCAGTGAAACATTCACAGTCAGACATTCACAGCCAGACATTCACTGAGATCCCCCCCGGCAGCCAATGGAATCATGGGAGAGATATCCCCCTGGCAGTCAAAGAGATCACAGGAAAGATATCCCTGCAGTAGCTAATGGGATTACAGGAGATAGATCACCCCCAGCAGCCAATGGGATCATAAGGGTGATATCCCCCTGGCAGCCAAGAGGATTATGGGAGAGATATCCCCCCCTGGCAGCCAATGGGATCATGGGAGGGAGATCTCCACAGCATCCAGTGGGATCATGGGAGGGATAACCCCCCAGCAGTCAATGGGATTATGGGAGAGATACCCCCCCCCCCCCCCTCGGCAGCCAATGGAATTGTGAGAGCATGCACAGATGCAGGCAGAAGGGACAGCTGGAGGGTGTGGGGATTGTTTTGCTTTTAGAAAACAATTGCTAATTTAAGAGGCACCATATCTGTTGATTTACTGCAAACAGTCATGTTTTTCTGCCGTTTTTTTAACCAGCAAAAGGACCAGTTACTGCTGTAAATTAAAATGAGGCTGTTCCAGTGAGGCTGTTCAAGGTTAAGAATTTAATTTCATGAAAGATATTGAGAAGCTTGAACCCCATGGCCTTATCAAATTTATTTTTTGCTGAAATATTGCGTACATGAGGTGTTTGTTCACTGCTTCCCTCTGTCCTTATAGTAAGTAGTCTGTTCTGTGCTCCTTGCATAAAGAGCCTTTTATTTTTAGAGATATCTGGAGATTAAAGGGGGCATGCTTTTCAAATGACTATATTATTGTAGGACGTGGTTTTGTGGAAACAAATTATAGCATAGTTGACGTTGTCGGAGAATTTCTGCTTACGCTCTTGATTTTTGTGTTGGGAATGCTTGAGAAGCTGGGGCTACAGATGTGCTGGCTGACATACTCTTTGCAAGTCTGTAAAAGTCTTATAATCACTCTGATCGCACCTTTAGATCTTTAACAAATACTTTGCTTGATGGTAGCCAGAGACTCGGCAGAAAAGCTCTTCTACACCGTGGTGAAATCAGCAAGCGTCTGCTGTGAGGAGAGCCCTTAGCAAGCATCCAAACAACACTCAGGGAACCCAAGTAAAATTATTAGGCAATTTATTGTTCATTTTATTAGTTTAGCCATAAACCACAAAGGAATCATAAAATGTCATTCTGTCACTTACATGCAGTCGGCGTACATCTGCTGTTAAAAATTAAATGCATTTGAGGTGCATTCTAATGACATCTGCCACAAGTGTGAAGGTGGAAAGAAGATTTTGCCAATGTTCATGACAGTCTTTCAAAGAAAAAGTGAGAGCAGAGGAGAACCAGAAACTGTGCGGCTAAACACATCTCCTGGATATCCTCCTGTCCTCACCCAAAATCAACCTTGTGACTTCCACGGGAAGCCCTGGTTTGTCGAAATGGCCCCTGGTCTTAATTGCTCTGATTGGTTCTCCTCATTGCCGTGAGAATTCTGTGTTCAGCTCACACAGTTTGAACACACTGTTCATAATGGAGCAGGAAGCTTCCAGAGAGGTAGTCTGACCCACCCTATGAGTGGCCATGTGTTGAGACTGCCTCCTTGGGTGCTGTGTTGTCCGGTCCCTGTAAAACAGCACAGATGTCGCTTGCTCCTTTCCTTTCTTTCCAGTAGCCCAATCATTCCCCAGGGCTGCCCTTTGTGCTTGTGAATACAAGGCCCCTGGACAGCGACCGCTTGATACTGTTAGATCAGGCGCTTTTGTTGCCTCTCCTGCAGGGATGCGGATCTCTTCCTACTTGAGTCGCGGACACTGTGGACAGCAGAGGAGGGCTGGCTGGAGTTTGACATCACGGCTACCAGTAACCTATGGGTGATGAGTCCGCATCACAACATGGGCCTTCAGATCAGCGTGGAGACCAGCAGTGGTGAGGCCTGTTCACTCTTTTGTAACTTTAAGATGTTCACCCTGGAGATGCTGAAGGGCATCCTCTGTGATTGGTTCTGCTGAGCAGGGAGGAGCCTCAGGCCAGAGGAGGCGGGGCTAGTGGGCCGCAGTGGGGCACTGGAGAAGCAACCTTTTATGGTGGCCTTTTTCAAGGTGAGCGAGGCACATGTCCGCTCCACACGGTCCATCAGCAAGCGTCGCCACCAGAACCGCAACCGCTCCACACAGCCACAGGAGGCGTCCAAGAGTCTGAGCATGGCAGGTTGGTCACCTGTAAATGTGGATATTTGAATGTGAACTGATAGGACTGGATATATATATATATACACACACACACACACACATACACACACAGGGTGTCCATAAAGTGTCTTTACAATTTCAAAAATGTTAAAAAATTTGTTCTATGGACTCAGTGGTTATCAAAGTTTTTAATCACATTGCAAACAAAGGTACAGGACATCACTAATCTAAAGTAGAGGATCACTGATGCCATTGCCACCATTGAGGAGGGTATGCTACAGCGAACATGGCATGAAATGAAGTACCGTCTTGATGTGCTTCGTGCAACTAGTGGTGCCCATATAGAGGTGTATTAAATGAGGCAAAAAAAACCTTAAGTATATACGTCTCATTTTGTAATAACTTCCACATATTTGTCTTTTCATTTGCCTTTGTCATATATATATATATATATATATATATATATATATATATATATACACACACATACATACATACATACATACATACATACATACATACATACACACACACACACACACACACACACACACACACACACACACAAATGAACACAAAATAAATATGTGAGTAGGGATTCCTGGATGATAGTATGGACACGTAGGGGATGTTTTGGGGGTGAGGTGTATCTACAGGCCTGTGCGCAAAGGCAGGCATGGAGATGCCACACTTTGTTGGCCATTGATGTGGATGGAGGATTTGGGCCAGTTAATAAGCCACAATTGAGGAGCAAAGTTCTGGAAATTTAACTAGAGTTTCTTTATTGGATTACATAAGGACTGAGTGAGTTTTGGTTCCCAATATTGTGAGGCATGATTTTCTGTAGGGGGTTGATGATGTTGAGTAAGAGGGGATTATTACTACACCAGGTAATGACTCTGTTTAATTGGTATCAATGACAATGATCTCACCCACATATATAATGATTTCGACAGAGTTGTACTGAGATGTGAGGTCATGTTTGAATAGCAATAAGAGGAGTGGGGAGAGAAAAGTCATATGAGTGCTCATTTACCAGACTGACTCATTTACCAGCATTTGTTTGCAGTGCAATATGGATGCTGTTCAATACACCAAATGCAAACTATGGGTAAATATAACTGTTGCTATTAGAAAGGAATTCTTGTTGGAAGAACAGTGTTTATCTAGAACATTAACAGTGTTGCGCCAGAGATTGTTCATGATGCAAGTTTTGCCTTTGGATTTTAAGGAAAGATGGCTTGACAGGTCTGCCTTGAATACAATGAGTCTAGGAGGAGTAATAGCCGAGTACAGGATAGATTGGTCTAGCCACATCTCTGTAAAGCAGGGAATGTAACATTCATTGACGATCTGTATTAGAAGTAGGAGTTTGTCTGTTTCGTTCCTGTGATATGGGACTTTTGATATCAGCAAAGCCAACAGTGATGGGCAGGGGGATCATCTCCCACACTTCCCATATCTCCCTATCCTGGGTATGACATTTAATACAGTGCAAAGACCTTTAAGGATGACCCAAGTACGACTCTTGAAATAAAGCTAAGGCCTTTAAAGGTAAGCCAGGCATGGCCCTGGATACAGTGCTAGGACCTTTAAGGGTAACCCGGATATGGTGCCTAATACATCACTAACTCTTTTAAGGGTAATTTGGGGTTTGACCAGAGATACACAGCTAATTCCTTTAAGGGTAACTTGCATATGACTCCTGATACATTACTAAAACCTCTAAGGGAAACTCAGGGTTTGACCTGCCATACAGTACTAACACCTCTACGGGTAACTTGGAGTTTGAGCCACGATACACGCTCAGTTACTAAATGACTGTCCACTCCTGGTCTGGGACCTTGTAATTTCCCTAGCAAGTCATTAAGCGCTTGGTAGAATCAGGATGGAGCACACTCAGAGTGTCACTCGGAGAGTTGTAATGACATGCTTCTCCCCAGCTGTACTTTTTCATCTCTCCCCCTCCCAGCCCCCTTTTTGTTTACTGCTAGCATAATTAGACACTGCAGATCACTGAAGGATGTTTAATAACCTCTGTGATGAAAGACAGGAAGGCAGATAAACTCCAGTAAAAATCACATGCATGCACACCACAGTTAGATTCCCTTTCAAGTCTCTCTGGAGCTCTGAGCTCTCTGCTGAGCTCTGTGGTTCAGCCTGGCTACGCAACGAAGAGCAGTATGCCTTCTGTGCTCCCTGCCCCAGCAGACTGACTCCACCATGTCAGGAGCCCTCCCTTGTAATTGTCCCTGTAAAGTGGTATTTACCGGCAGCGTCTCGTATTTAGAGAATTCAAGAACCATTGAGTTTGAAGGCGAAACAGCTGCAGGTCAAAGAGGAGCTACTTTGTGGAACCACCTAACTGCAGCACCATACACTCAACCTTTTTCTAACCTTTTCCTAACTGGCAGTGAAAAGTGACTTGTTAATGAGTCACTGCAACATTGTATGTAAAAATAACCGAAGCCCAAATGCGGCTAAGTGGTAACTGTGTTTATTTGTTAAAGAGCCCAGGTGTTCCTGGTTGAAAGTGTGCTCTGAGCCTGTGAAGCACAGAAGGTGTATGGCGGTAAATTTTACAGACAGGATATAGCTCACAAGGGAAGAGTGGTTTATGGACACAGCTAATGTGGCCTTTGCACTGAGCAAAGCCTTCTGGCAAATATTTCCTTTATTCCCATTTAAAGAGCCCCCCACCGCAAAATGTTGGTGTTCATCAGGGACTGCAGAAACCAGTCTTCCCTACATCTAGTTAGTGGTCGAGCAGCATCGCGGTGCTTGTGAGAGACGTGGGTTTTTGACCTGTTACCGGGGCCCCGTGCGGAGCAGCGCTGGCCTCTCCCGCCCTCCACCGTCACGTGTTCGTGTGAAATGCTGCCGAGGAAGCCTCTCCAATGCGGAAAGCTTCACGGCCCCTCCAGAAAGGCCTTATCTCTGTAAATATTTACACATCCCCAAGCCGGTGCCGAGGAGTGGCAGGAAACGGGAGGCGGGTCAAGCCAGTCTGACCCTGAGAAAGCCCCCCCCCCGCCCCCCACCCCCCCACCACGCCACGCGCCCGACGCCAACACGCCCGCCC